AGCTGCTGACAGGTAGAGTGTGGGTAGGTAGTGTGAGGATCTGCTCCAGTCCTGAGTGGTGTTATTGCATTTTAAGGCCTTTAAAAAAAACCCCAGTGCCTGGAGGCAGTGCACACGTGTCCAGGGGCTCCACAGGACCACCCAGCACAGAGCAGCATCCCTACAACCTTCACATACTGCTGCCTGGAAATGACTTATCCAAACCATCTGGCTTTTGTTGTCTCACCTTCTAGTCAGATGACAAAGACATGAAATATTGCTGCACCTGCCATGGGCAGAGAGGTGCCAGCCACAGTGACTCATGGAGCTCCCAAGGGGCACAACTCCCACTGAACCAAACTGAGCTGACCAAAGCTTCTGGTGAGACAGACAAAAACACAGAGCAGGGTAAGTCTGGAGCTGTGCCTCCACGGTGCACCCTGCAGTCATCTTTGTCTTTGGTAGCTTCTCTCTTACAAGAATCCCACATATGTGTTCAGCACCTGTCCTGCCTGGCACAGCCTGACCCAGGCTGGGTATCCAGCCACTCTCCTGTTTGCTGTGCTTGAGGCAGTTTTAAGGGAGAAATGAATGCACAGCGAGCAGCTCAGCTGCTTTGCCACAAGGTGTGTGTCATCCAGCAGCCTTGGTGGTTCGTCTGCCTGCCCCATTGTCTCCCCTGCTAGCACTTTGATTTGATACAAACCCTTGCATCTGCAAAGGGTTTCTAGCAGGGCAGCTGTCCCAGGCCCCTCTCACTGAGCACCGATGCCAAAAATGTCCACTAAAGCATTGCAGCCTCTCCAAGCTCTGCTCTTATACAGGAGCATCTACTGATGAGCAGGATAGATTTACTACTCATTCTGATTCTTCTCACAAGCTGTTCCTAAACTCATTCACCACTTCCCCTGGAGATTTCTCCTTCAGGCACAGCTCCCTGTTTTGCAAAGCAGGACTGACAATCCTCCCTGACTCTGTGGGCAGTCTTGGCTCTCTTTGGGCTTTCCCATTTCCTTGGCCATGTGGCACATGTCTGCCCCCAACCTCCAACACCACACTCTTCAAGCAACTCAGCCTTACTCTCCCTTGGGAACCTGCAAAGTGTGTGGGAGCAGCCCTGGGACAGGGCCTGGGAGGGGCTGTGATGTGTTCATCCCTGAACACTTCAGAACTCGCTTGGACATATCCCTGGGCTGCCTGGGCCAGCCACCAGGCTACCTGCTTGAAACAGGGCTGGCTGGAGGTGCAAGCTCTTTCTCCCCACCGAAAAGTTCTTGGGGCTCTACAGTTTAACCATTCTCAGAAAAACCCACCCAGAGTCCCTCTTGGCTCTTCCCTGCTAGACAGGTCATGCTGCTGTAACACTTTCACAGGATTTCCTGCTCCCCATTTCTCACCCAGCTGTTCAGAGGTACATCTCTCCCCTCCCCACACTGGGCAGCTCCCCTCCAAGACTTTCAACATCAAAGCTGCCATTCAGAGTTTAACCCTGGATCTTTCCAAACAAGCTGACTATATTGCATCCACCTGCTTACAGGGACACATGCTGATCCTTGCTGTTTTCTTCCATCTTATTGCCCTCCCTTCCTGGAGAGGCGAAGGTCACTCAGCCATGGGATTTCAACCTGATCTCAAGTTTTCTCCTCCCTCGGCTAAGGCTCAGTTCCCACTCACACTCCTGTTATCCATGCCCTATACAGCTGAAAGCCAGATGAGCTCAAAAGCAGTGGAGGTCTCAGGCTGTGTTTGGAGCAAGGCAACATGTTTGCCAGCGAAGATAACAAAACCAGTAGCTCAGGGTGAGGCATGGTGATTAGATTAGATAGAGGCATATTAGATGAGGCACGGTGACTAGATCGTACAGCTGACTGTGCAGGATATCACAAAGCAACCAAAACAAGTTTTTAGTCTCAAGACCTGCCCTAGAGTATCTCTGGAAAGCTCCGTATCCGAGGATCACAAGCAGCAAGCTCCTGTATTAGCACAGATTCACAGCTGCTGCTGCCAGCTCTTCCCTTGTCCCACCTGACATTCCTCACCACCATGCATCACCCCTGGCCCACCACAGCCAGGCAGGACCTGTTTTCATTGTACAAAAGGCTCGGCAACTCCATGTGCACAACCTCAGCAAGGGCACCCAACTCACGCACTGGTATCAGTAGTGTCTCCACTACCTTAGGAAGCAAAAACAAGGAAATGGGAGTGCATTGGGAGGAGGTTGACAGATACATACACCTGCCTGCTCTTCTTGACCCAGTTGCTGTTTCTCTATTATTTTCATGCCTGGATGTGCTTGCCATCTGAAAGGGATTATCTGGGGGATTAAGCTCCATGCATAGGGATTTGTTAGCCAGGAGCAGGGCGTGAGGAGCCATCCCTCTGCAGACCAGCAGCTCCACAGCACTAGCCAGCTCTTTTCACAGTCGTCAAGATGATGGCCAGCCAAACCAGGTGGCACAGCACCCTTGAGCCAGATTCAACAGGCAAAGGTCACAGAGAGCAGCCAACAACTGAGCCACCCCCTGTCCTTTGGGCAGCCCCTATTTCAAGGCTCCAGGTCCTACCCGTACTGTCAGGACAAAAGACAAAAGACTGTGGTTACAGTTCCCATCCCACAGAACAGTCCCATCCTTTGGGTGTAAAGATATCCAGCTTCTTGTTGCTTGGAGGAGAGGGGCAGAGGGTGAAGTTAAGCACAGCCAACCTTTCTTCTGCAGAAGGGCATGGACAATCATCCCTGGAGTCACAAAAGCAGGTAGAAACCCCAGTAGAGCAGTGGAGACCTGTGACAAGTGCCATAGGACGCTAGAGCAGCTTGTCCAACTGAAGAGCACTCCCTTGTAGACATCTGGGCTTACTGTGCATCTCCAGCTTCATGCAGCACCAAACTCTTGGGAAACCATGAGCTTTAGCCCACCTTTCCCTGTTGTTCCATCTCTCCAGGGCTCAGTATGTACTTTAGCACCTTTTGTTCCTTCTTCATGAGACCCTGAACAGGAAGCTGAGCTAGAGGTCTCCGGAGGCCACTTTGCATTCACACCACTCACAACTCCTGAATCCCATGCTTGCATCTCCCAGGATGTAACACACACCACAGTTTACCAGGTGCCATCACAGCAACTGAGGTGAAACTAAACCATGTGGCAGGCTGAGTTCAGACACAGTAGGACAAAACCACACATTTTCTCTAACCCTGAACCACAGATCCTCAAGAGAGAGCTCCAGAGAGCTTTTAAAATGAACACAGAAACATGTTCATAGCTTTACTTGGCACCTATGTCATGGATAAAGACTGGTGGTGGTATATCACACATCCTCTTCCCTCGTCAGTCACTGCATGCTCCATAGGCAGAAAGCACTTGTCCCATCCCATCAGACACTACTTTTCCTGATAAATGCCCAACTTCATCCTACAGGCACATACTTGACATAAATACTCAAAGGTCTTACCTACAGTTGCCAACCTCTGCCCATATTAGAAAATTGCCCCTTTCTTTCTAAGCTTTAGGGAAAAAAACCCAAAACCACAACAAACCCACCAAACTCACATATCAGAAAACATTTTTCTTAACTAGGCTAGCTTATTCAAAGCTACCTCTTCTAGGACCTCCAGACCTAACTGCACTCAAATCCTAGGGCTGTCACACCTGCAATGCCAGCACAGAGCTGGTGATCATCTTGCCATAAGAACCCCGACCCTCCCACACCCCAGTAAGTGCTACTCAGCTCCTAAAGTGTTGTGTCAGATTGTTTTGAAAAACACTTGCTACTTCATTAATCTCAGCCCAGAGAATGAGGCAGGCACAAGGAATGACCCAGTGCCTCTGAATCTGCAGGAGGTGGGGAATCCTAAACGTGGAGGGGGTGGCTGATACCTACCACAACCCAGAGCAGAAGCACAGTAAAGTTCAAGATACTCATCTAAAACCAGTCAAGACAACACACTTCATTACTCTCCAGAACAAGGAGCCAAGTACTGCTGTAGGATGTTCTGGGGACCAAGTACACCAAATTGAAGAGACAGCCAAGCCAGACTCCTTTCCTGTGGAGAAGAGAAAAAACGGCACCAGAAAAAGCGGGGTCTGGCCCCAGCATGTTTCAGGGTACAGCTGAACAAAGCCACAGAACCCAGATCTGGTGCTGGGACAGGCTTTATTGCATTTACACATCCACATAAACACACCAGATCTGCTTCACAACTGTGAACAGATAGGTGAGGGAAGCACCACTCCACAATGGCCAACTCGTCATTCTGTTCTAATGTCAGGTGGTAACTGGTATTCATATAAGTCTGAGCTGAGAGGTGTTTCTCAGCCCAAACTCAAGAATGGCCTCCCTCTACTGCTGATACCACCCTGCTAGCAGTACACCTCTGTTTCCCAGAGATGCTCAGAACCAGTGGAAGGTAGGAGGAAGGAAAAAAAAAAGAATAAAAGCAGGATTCTTTAAATCTGTATCCCCGCAAGCCAACTCAATAAAGAGCCTCTGCAGAGCCTGGATTCTCCTGGCTGCCAGCTCTGTGCAGGTTTCCTACAGAGACCCCTGAGTGACCCCTCTCTGTGGGCACTCCAGTCCCCTGTAGGAGGCACCAGCCTGGGCATGCAGCTTCCAGAGTTCAGGGAGCCTCACCTAACCCCTGCCAGCCCCAGGGAAACGCCTGGGCTCCCGTACTAGGGAGCATTAAGTAATTATGTGACACGTGAGGGTGAGCAAGCACCAGAGACATCTCCCAAGGGCCTAAGGCTGGGAAATAGTCTCAGACAGCCCACAAGTGCTCAACACACAAAACCCACACTGAAGTCTTCAGAAGTCACTCATGTCTTTCAGTAACTAAAAACAGCAAGAGAAGTAAGCCAAAAAGGTGATTAACAGCCCTCCTGTGGCAGGAGAGGAGAGACCCCCACACTTCCCAGGTACACACAGGCTTACAGTGCAAGGTAACAAACCAACCTCCCTTCCAGCCCTCCAAGTCAAAAGAAGATGGATATCAGAGTAAAAACACCACTGCAAGCAAGGACAAGTCAGTTCCAGTCATTTATTCATCAGGGCACTTGAAGGTACTTGGTGCCAGGTATTTGGTGAAGGTCCCCAAATAGGAAGAAAGGTTGGTACAATAGATTTATATAAAAAGACACTTAAATAGATAAAACAACATGGTAACCTCTCACTCTTGCTATAAACAGAGCAGACTAGCCCTGAGTCCAGGTTAACATCATCAGCTTCAGCCTTTACAGCCAGTCGTGGTTAAAACCCTTAATGCCCTCACACCCAGGGGAGAGCAAGGCATCTATCCTCACAGCTGAGGCAGGGGTGTGCTTCTCAAGCCACCTCTTCAGGAGCTTGGTTTCAGATGCTATGCAGAGCCTGACTGCCAGTAAGGTTCAATCTTGTTGAGCAGGTCAGTACAGCCAGCCCCAGCTTTGGTGAACAAGTGTAAGAGCAGCTCTTCTGAAGGTGAGCCTTCAAGTACATCAGGATCAGCCACAGGTAACAAGTTTGAGCCACCAACAAACACAAGTAGAGCCAAGATGCAGGGCAGGACCCCAGACTGCTGCCTTTACTGCTCTGAACCAGGTTTAAAACACACGTTTTTGAGGCTGTTCCTGAACCGTGCACAGTTCAGTCATGTTTTTGCAAGACACTGCTTTGCAATTCTGTTAAGACAGACTCCGTCTACTCTGGGTCTCCAGTTTTATGCCAAAAATAAAAATCCCATACCAGAAAGTCTAAGTATTTCTCTTCAGTTTTCACATTTCCATTTTCAGGAACTGTTCACATTCTGTCGAGAAGGAAGATTGTGTCTGAGGCTGTGTGCCTGCAGAACAGCAGGCAACATGAGTAGCACCGGAATGAAGAAAGCCCACGTGACCGATACAAGACTCTTACCCCACTGAGACTGGCTTTACTTAGTCTAAAAGGTCACTGTATCTCTCTAGAATCTGCTTCTCCAGTTCCAACAGCTTTTGGTACAACTTCTCAGCAGTGTCTTCATCCACATCCATCTGGAAGACAATAAGAACAGCACTGTGAGACCATCACCCCAATGGCAGCCAGCACAGAGACCAAGGGCAGCTCTGGGGATAGGCAGGGTGTACCCTCCAGAGCTTCTACGTTTACAGAGAGGCAACTAAAGGCATCTGTCACCAGGGCACAAACCACAACATATTTTGGGGCAGCATCATTACACACATAACCTAACTATCATTTCCACTATCTTCCAGACTCCAGCCTAAGCCAGGAATTACTCCAGGAAACCTCACAGATAAGCTCCCATCCCCCCTGCTGCTCAGCATTCAACATGCATCTTGCTTCCACTCCAGCCACAGGACACCCTTGGCACCAACCCTTCCACACAAGGCAGATGACAGACCCCTAGCCAAGGAGGCTCCCTTTCCATTTACCTTCCTGGGCTCCACATAGCATCTCCCCAATCCAGTAGTACAGCTGTGGTATTTCGCAAGTAAATCCAGGTACTCTGGTTTCTGTTTGAACAGCCACACCTGGGAAGAACAGCACAGAGGTGTCTGAGTCCAGCACACACTGTCCCAGTCAAGTCTGCAGGCAAGGACCCAGCTGCCAGCAGGCACAGGAGAAGTCAGGAGAGGTGCTCCCAACCAAGCAGGGAAAGACACAGTATCTAGGGAAGAAGTTCTGAGCTGGCTCCCTTCACCTCTGACCTACACGAGCCAACAGTAACCCACATTTATGCCAAAGCAGGTCAGCATGGCTAAACTTGCTCCTGCTGTGCTTGAGACACACTGTGCCCCACATCACCCACCTCCATCCCCTGTGCATGCATGTCATTCTCCCTGACAGGAGATGGAAGGAATAGCGTTTTTCCAAAATCATTTCTTTTATGGGTACTAGATAAAGGTCATAAACCATCACCTGGCAGATCAGCCCCAGTGACAGCTCATCCCCCAGCACTCAGTGCTGTACATTACTGGGGGGTCAAATACACCACCCAACCACCAGCCTTCCTGAGAGGCTCTTGGCTCAAACCAGCAGATCCTGGAAGAGCTACCCAAAAAATCAAGTTGTGAGCTACTTACATGAGCTTCTGCTCCATTATACGGTGTCAGAGTATAAGTTTTGGCAAAAAATCGGATCTGAGGGGAAAAGAAGCACACGACAGAATCTGTATTGTGATCCAATGTTTGTTTGACAAGCCCTGCACAGCACAGATACTCCAAATAATCTACCAGTGGCAGAAGTCTTCTCAAAGTTGACTACAGGTAACACCACACGATGATCAAAGCATCCCTTTATCACCACAAACTATTTTCTGGAGCTACCCAGCAGGTCAGCAAGCTCCATGCTCATGCTCTCACACAGAGCTCACCTCAAGGCAGGAGGCCACACATGCTTTGCAGGTGCCTCTACTTCAATGGTCTCAGGAGCACAAAGGGCAGGAGGCAAAGGGGATCTGCACAACTGCCAGTGCTGAGGACAACTGAGAAGGCATTGCCTCTCTGCTGCCAGAAGAAACGTGATCTGTCAGGATCAGCTGCTACAACTGGGGCAGCTTAAGCTGAAAGGCCAGTCTTGCAATAAGAGCATCAAGGCTCAGAGCAGGCAGCCTTCAGAGACAGAACTGCACTGGACCTGAAAAGATGAAGCCCAGATGAAGAAAGGCAAGGAAAGTTTTGGTGAAGCAGGGAAAGAGGCAGTAGAAAGCAGGAGGGTTTGCTTTCCAGATGGATGGAGAGCAAAAAGCAAGAAACACTGAATTCTAGAAAGCTGGAAAGAACAACACTGAAAAACAGCCTGTTCTAGAAACAAACAGCATTTCAAAGCACACGGACCAAGTTTTGTCCTGAGCTCTGCTGCCACCAAAATAATGGTATTTTCACAAGCCCCAGCAGCCTGGCAAACCTTCCAAGGGGAGACTTGATGAACATTGCTGGGGCTGAAGGGCTGAACCCTGGCTCTATGCACAGTGCTGTCCAGCACCAAACCTCCATACTCAGCTTGGAAATTGGGGCCCCAAGATGCAAAAGGGAAGGTTTGCAGAGGGGTCAGCCTGCCCAGCTCAGCAAGAGGAAGAGCACAGGCAACAAGGAGCCAGAATCATGCTGTACATCACTTGCAATGAAGTGTATCACAGCAGGGCTACCTCAGCTCAAAACCACCCAGGAGATCCACTCACCAACCACATGATGGGCATTAACAGCTTCCACAGAAAGACTGGCAAAATTCTGTAGGTCATATTAGTCATAACGAGACCGGGACAAACAACACTGGAATACAGACCCTGCAGAGAAGAAACCAAGTCAGTGTGCAATTACACAACAGTTAAAGAATGGATCATACTCCTTCCCTCCCTGTACTCCTCAGCAAAAAAAGTGAGGGTGAGTACATAGACCAGAAAATAGATACTCTCCTCTCGTAAGTTACCAGCGATTAGACACAGTGATTTTTGAGAGGTTCAAATTGGAGATGCTGGTGTCAAATCTGTGCTCATTACAAGCCCATGGGATAGGAGATGCACCCTCCTGACACATCACAGCCTCACAGTGCAGTCTCCCTGTAGCTCAGCAGCTACAGCAAACATCCCACAAATTACAGCCCACTCAGACAAAAGGCTACCTCACCTTTGAGATAAGAGTTCAGCCTTCTAGGTCTAAACCATTTTCTCCTGAAGTGTTTGAGAAGAGTGTAACTGCTACCGCTGGACTAGGGCTGTGGCCTGCCAACAAAATTCCATCAATCCCCAGTGACAGGGAAGGCAGGTTGGTTGTACATGTCAGTGTGACAAACCTGAAAAGCAGCATGGAGCCACTAGCAGAGCCTGCACCTCAAGTGCTTGCAGACAACACTGCCAGAGCAGAGTTCTGATAGGCAGGGACACTTGAAAAAAAGTAGAGGCTCTTTGCTCTTTAAGACCAATTCTTCGGTCTAAGAGACAGAGCTTGCAAGGCAGGGACTGCTCCTAAAATCTTCTGGTTTTAGAACCCCAGAAAAAATCTCTTTGGCAGATTCTCTGCCACCTACGCCACCAGTTCAACCTCAACCATGTTCTGTTCTTACATGTGCATTAAGGAATGCACCAGGTTGCTGTGAATGAATGAATTCAAGTAGGTAACTACAATGTAATGATAATTACCAACAGAAGGAGCTCATTAGTTTTTTTCAGAAAGACAAACCCCATCAGCACCTGGTTATTATATTTCCTGTTCAGAACCACACTTGTCAGGTCAGTAGCATATTTAGAGGAACTGTATGATTCCTGCCCCTTGGCATGCTGATAGTCAGAGAGGCTGAAGGCAGACTCCCTGGCATTGCTGGAGGAGGTCCAGATGAGTCGTGAGGGCTTCTCGTTACCGCAGAGTAGAGACTGAAGCTGACGAACCTGAAAAAGAATTGTTAACTTATTTAACACAGCAATTTTCCAGTGTTAGGGTATGGCTTTACAGTACTTTAAACCTGTGAGCTTATCTCAGCTTTCTCAGCCAGCCCTCCCTAGGCTAGCCAGAAGGAGACACTTCTCAGGTGTAACTTCAGGCCAGGGTGCACCAGAACATTTAAAAGCAGCTGTCATTCTCTTTCACATCTCAGTTGAGCACTTTGGAATTTAATACAGCCAAGCCTTAGTATTTACCCTGGACAGAGAACTACATGTGATTTATCTCTATCTGCTGGCTCGCTAAAGTAACCTCAAAATTATATTAACCCTTGTAACAAAAGTCAACATTTTTTGCTATTTAAACAAATCTCAAGGCCTGTCATTCTCTATCTGTCAGGCTGCATCCTGCATCAGCATCTCAACCTGTGAGAATCAATTCACCAGGACTGCCTGGACCCACCCACATCAAACACCAGACCGAGGGCTCGACCCTCATATGCAGCCTCACCAGGATAAAGTGCCCGAAGAGGTTGGTAGTAAACACCTCCTGAAGTCCATCTCCAGTCAGCCTGTCCGTCTGGGTCATCATGCCTTCGGCAGTGGTCAGCATGTGAAGCACCTTCCTGGAAACCAAGGACAGGAATTAGCAAGGAACGCTGCCAGGAGCCACCTACTTCAGATTGAGCCGCCACTTCAGTCCTTTAGAATTAACCCCCACCTCACAGGCTCCACACAGTTTCACCTTCAAGGGCTCTATCAATCAATGAAAAAAAAGATGGAAAACTCCCAGCTCCTACTGTCTCAGTACTGACTAGACCAGAGAAGACTTGTCCCTTCCTTCACTTTAGCACTGAAGTACCATTAAAAAAAAAAGTCTTGCTCTTCCATTTCACGCTCAATTAACCAAATCAAGATCCAGTATGGAAGTAAGCCCTAGGGCCACATCTAAAGCAGGCAAGGAAACCAGTTTGGCCTCTATGCTCAACACCCCAAAGGCTGTATCAGACTCAACACAAGTGACTGTGCTCCCCAGCTCAGCTTCCCTGTGTTGCTGACAGAATAATGATGCTTTTACCAGCACCCACCATTAGCTTCAGAAAATACTGTGATCCACAGCTGTGAACAACTACAAAAACCTGTAGTGGGATCAAAACAACGGTAAGAAGACCCAGTATGAGCAAACTTCACCTCCCCAGCAACACAGCAGCATTTCTCACACAGTGCCAGAGACTGCAGGCTTTGGGTGACCTCTTGCCCTTCCCCTGCACCCTGTGTGGGCATCACACCGGAGATCAGAAGCAGCACTAGGTGCCTTGGACTACCCCAGCACTCCACTCAGCTGCCAAGCCCACCCCAAGCAAGACTGTGCATCCTTAGGGATGTGTTCTGTGTCACACTGGGGAAGGGAGACAGGGTCTTCAGCCCCAGACTCAAGGGCACATCTTCACTGTGCCAGCACCCCAGGCTTCCCACAAGCCCCTGCTGGACCCCTCCCACATCTCCTACCCAGTGAGGAGACCCTGCCAGAGGGCTTTGAAGTTCACTTGTGGGTTGGGCATGATCCCAGCATTGAGGTAGACAAAGTCCAGGCGCTGAAACCTGCATGGAGAAGAGCACAGGGGTAAGGGCTAGAGCGGGGACAGAAGGGTCCGGGGGAGTGGGCTACAGGCAGGAGGGGTCCGGTGGGACAGAGACCACCATACCTGCAGCGGAGCTCTTGGGCGGCACGCAGGACGGAAGCCAGGTTGCCCAGGTCCACTTCCACGGTGGAGACCTGGGCGGCGGGGTGGGTGGCCAGGATGAGGTCCCGCGTGGCCTCGCTCTTCTGCACGCTGCGGCACGCGATGCACAGGTGGATGCGGCCATCCTCCTCCAGCAGCCGATGGCACAGCGCCAGCCCCACGCCGCTGCGGACGGGACGGGGTTAGACACAGGCAAGGCAAAGGAAAGGAAAGCAAAGCAAGACAAGACAAACCAAACCCGGCCCGGCCCGGCCCGGCCCGGCCCTTACCTGTTAGCCCCGGTCACCAGCACCACCCGCTCCATACCTGCCCCGCGCCCTCCGCCCCCCCGCGCTATAACCGCTGTCCGCGCCGCGGCCCCGCCCCGCCCCATCGCCGCCGCCAATCGGCGCGGGGAGAGGGGGCGTGGCCCGGCCCGCCCAGCCCCGCCCGCCAATCGGCGCTCGGTGAGGGGGCGGGGCCCGCACCGCCGGTGGCGTGATAGTGAGCCGAGCGCAGGGGGCGGGGCAACCCGGGGGACACGCCCTCTGACCCCGCCCACAGCGCTGCTGGTCACGCCCACGCTGCGCGGGCCACGCCCACTTCTCCGAGCTGCCTCGGTTACCCAGCTGCCCTTGCCTTGCCCTGCCTTGCCTTGCCCTGCCTTGCCCTGCCTTGCCCTGCCTTGCCCTGCCTTGCCTTTCCCTGCCTTGCCCTGCCTTGCCTTGCCTTGCCTTCCTGGCCAAGGGGAGCCCCCTCGTGCCCCGCAGCTGCCGCAGGGACACCGTGCTCTGCCACCCCGTCCTGTGCCACCGAGGGACGTTTTGCAGCCCAGCAGAAACGCCCCCGGGTCCCTGTTTTCGCCGGTGTTGCTGTGGCAGGGAGCGAGGTCTGGGCACGCAGGTCCCTCCCGGAAGACATCAGGTGCAGCGCTGCTCCTGGCGATGTCCCATTTGGAGCAGGGGATGGACACCCCAGCCCCCCAGACACCCCAGCGTGCTCTCTGACCCAGGGCCGTGCAGGGTGCCCAGGCATCGAGCCCGGGCGGTGGGACCTGCAGGTGTGCCCTTGCCTGGCCCAGTGCTCCCAGCTCCCCGCTTGCTGAGGAAGGGCTGGGATGGGCCACAACGCACCCTGAGCAGGAGAGGGGATCTGAGGGGACAGGCAGAGGGATACCAAAGCCATGGCATGAACAAAGCCTGTCCTCGTCTTCGACACACTCAGCAAGGATGAGACCTCCTCTGCCACAGCCAGCAGGAGCACACGTGGGAAGACCAGCCAGTCCCTCTTCAGAGCACAGCCCACCATCCCTGCCCTCTGCTCCCCCAGACCCACTGTCCTGCCTCGATCCCTGCTGATGGAGTGTCCTGACACGGATGCTGAGCCTCAGAGCACCCTCCCTGCCACCCGAGGAGATAGAAAACTGGTGTGGCTCAGCCAGCCAGTCTCTTGAGCATCCTTTCTCCATCCCTTAGGCTGTTACCCGTGTGCACTCCCCAGGCTCTTCCCACCCCACATCCCAGGGTGCAGAGTGCAGCCCCAAAGCCCCCCAGCCCTGAGGGTGCCCATGGAGGAGGTGAGCTGAGCCGCCCTCGGAGGTGCCGCAAGCAAACCATGCAACCAGATTCACACACCAAATGTCTCTTCAGCGGGTTTGCCCCTACATATAGGTGCATCTACTGAATATATACATGCCTTAGCAATGGAATACTGGGAACTGTGCCACGCGTGACTGATGGTGCTGAACTAATGCATACAAAAGTATGGAGGGGTCCATGTGCCCTCTAAGTACAAAGTTCCTCCTGTCCAGCTGCAGGAGGGTCCAATTTTGGGGCATAGCCAGTAACCTGCCAGGGCTCCTGGGGGCACATGGCTTTGGCACCTGCCCAGTTCGCTCATGATGCTGCTGGATCCGGGAGGATAGATTGGTGCCACACTGCTGTGGGAGGCACAGGGTGGCAGAGTCCAGCCACGTATTTCAGCTGAACTGTGATCCCAGGCTGAGAGCCAGGGAGAGCTGGAGCACCCTGCTCCATGCCCACGGACTGTAGCAGGCATGGGCATTGGGCAGCAGCCAATGAAGCTCTGCTATGTGCCTTCCTCTCCTGACAGGTGAAGATGTGGGTTAACCTGGGAGAGGAGGACCTGGAGATTTCCCCATGGAAGTGAAAGGTGCTGACATCCTGCTGCCAGTTGCCACGCATCACCGCATAGGGTATCCAAAATGCATTTCATGGGCAATTGAGCTGCTCTGGAGTGGCTGTGGTCCGTGAGGGGATGTCCCCTCAGTGATGCCTGCTCCTTCCTGGCTGACACAGAACAGCCATGGCTGAGCATGCTGCCTGCTCCAGCAGCAGGGTGAGGTGCTGGGAGTGGTTCAGGCTTCTCCCTGTGCAGCTGGGGTCTGGCCAGCAGTGACGGTGCTTCCGGCCTCTCCATGAGGCATGTCCAAAGTCCCAAATGTCCAGAGAGTGTTTCTTTTCACCCTGTAATTGCACAGCCCACTGAGAGCTGGTGGCAGCTCCCAGCTCCTCCTCAAACAGGTAGTGGCTGCTGGTCGGTCCCTGCTCCAGCAGGCACATACCCACACACATCCCTTCCCCAGGCACCTACCCTCTGTGTGGGCTGAGAGCTTCCTCACAGAGAAAATCCAGCTGCCCTTCCTCCCCTCCAGTCGGGGAAGAGAAGCCGCTCTGTCCTGGTCCTTGTCACCAAGAACATGCTGCGTCAATAAATAACCCTCATCCCAGCCCGCGCTGCTCCCGGGCCCAGGTCTGCAAGCAAGCGGGAGGTCTGAGTCGTCCCACGTCATGGCTCTCTTTGCTGTCCTTGGGGTTCTCCTCTGAGGCTTCACTGTACAATGAGAACAAGACCAGCTGCCCGGGGTTTATTGCTGAGTCCAAGTGAAGTGGCTTCAGTTTGCATATGGGGCTCCTCTGGGGACGGGGAGGGATGGGGACCTGGCTTGGGGGAAGCCAAGGATCATTCTTCACTGGCTGACTCTTGGAGAAGGCGATGGATGTCCTGGAAGGAGGGACGATCCTTGGTGTCCCGTCTCCAACAGCTGAGCATTAGCTTATAGACTCTGTCAGGGCACAGTGCAGGCTGGGGAAGGTAGGTCTGCAAAACAAATGGCAGAGATGGCAAAGGGAGAGAGTTACTGCCACAGAAACGAACATGCAAACTGCGCCTGGAGAGCCCCATTTCTCGGGGAGCCCCATCTTTCCATGCCCCAGGGTGGGGGGCTGTGCCACTGTGTGCCCAGGGGCGAGGGGACCTCCAGATGGCACAGTGAGAGGCCTGGGGACACCGCTTCTGCCTCCCAGCCTGGCTGAGTGCTGAAGCAGAGTCAGCAAGCAAGTCGTGGCTTGGACTGTGTAAAGTTCAGAGCTTACCATGCCATGCCCTTCACCAGGGCTCCTTTCCAGAGGAGTTCCCATCCCATAACTGCCCCAAACTCCCTATCTTGTCACCTTGAAGTCTCTCCCCAGGTCTCTGATGTTCCAGGCACAGTACTGCCTGTCCCATCCCATCTCATCCCATCCCATCCCATCCCATCCCATCCCATCCCGTCCAGTCCCATCCCATCCCATCCCTACCTGCCGGCCCTGGTCCCGGAAAAACTCGCCAGTGTTTTCAATGACCTGCTCGTCAGACATCTGGGAATAGGGCTGTTCCCGGCAGAGTGTGAAGGTCTCCCACAGTGTCACACCAAACGCCCACACATCACTGGCTGTTGTGAACTTGCCCTGGCCAGAGGGAGCAGAGTAGAGGTCAGGCATGGGCACTACTTCATCCTGCTCCATAAGCCCTAGGTCAGAGTTCAAAACCTCCTTCTGGTTGCTTCAGTTTCCAGATGTGGGCCTAGAGGGGTGTGTGGTCCCACAGACCTGCTTTCTGCCTGGGGCCAGAGCCTGGTGAGCTCCAGGTTTGGCTGGCAGTGACTGCTCTGAGGGCTGGGGCTTGCCTAGGATCCAGCTCCCTTCAAAGGCAAAAAGCAACCCTGCTTCATCTTCCAGGTCTGACCATGGCCAGGAGAAAATGTCAGACATCCTGTTTAAAGGATGTCCTACCCTGGGACATCAAAAATCACCATAGTCTCTCCAGCCCATCATGAAAAGCTGCTACCACTCTTGCTTTTCACATGCTTCACCCCAAATCTGGACCGCAGGGAGCAGAGATCTCCCCATCCCTTCTGCACCCCCCAGCCCAAGGAAACAAGACAGTGGGAATCCCCAGAGGCGTGTCAGTGTCTGTCAGAGGAACCCAGCCCCTGTGTACCAGCAGGATGCTCTCCCAGGACATCCAGCGGATGGGGAGCACCGCCCGCCCCTGGATGCGGTAGTAATCCCCGCTGTAGAGATTCCTGCTCATGCCAAAGTCAGCAATCTTGATGGTGTACTGCTTCCCCACCAGGCAGTTGCGCGTGGCCAGGTCTCGGTGCACGAAGTTGAGGGAGGAGAGGTACCTCATGCCGGAGGCTATTTGGGTGGCCATGAAACGCAGGTCACTGCCGGGAGGACAAGGGAGGGCTGAGGCGCTGGGAAGGATGGCAGCCAGGGGTACACAGCCCTGAGTAGGGTGTCCCCCAGCCGGGCAGGGTGCCGGGAGCAAGCAGCCCTGCCCAACCCTGCCCATCCCGGCAGCACTACCTGACAGTGGGTGTGTGGCCGGCGGGGGGGCCGCCTGCCTGCTGGCGGGACAGGAACTGGTTGAGGTCTCCATTCTCCATGTACTCAGTGATCATGCACAGCGGGTCATCCGTGATGCACACCGCCAGCAACCGGATGATGTTGGGGTCCTTCAGCCGCGACATGATCTTGATTTCCTTCAGAAAATCATTCCTTTCCGGAACAGAAACCACACGGATCGGATAGACAGACCCAGAGGGGCACAGAGGTGTGCACAGACTGGCCAAGCGTGCCACCCACCCACCCAAACCTCGTGGGACTGGGACTCCCCTGGGACTGGGGGCCATGAAGAGGAGCTCAGGGCTGATCCACACATGGCTGCAGGGGAGCCTTGGCAGGTAAATAGGCACTGGGGGGCTGTTTAGGATCAAGAATCCTGACACTTGACAGCCCAGAATCCCCAGAGAGCTCAGACATGAGGTCCTTGGAGCTGCACTGAGTGCCTGGCTGCTGGAGGCAGGGATGCTTTCCGAGCTTCCCAGCTCTCCTGGTGCAGCTCTACGTGGGAGGCAATGCCGAGGTGTGTGCACCACCCAGCCCTGTACCTGGCATTCTTATTGGCATCCGCTCGCAGCATCTTCACAGCCACCAGCACAGGGCGGTCAGAGCTGCCATCCAAGCCCTCCAGGGCAAAATCCTTCCCTGTGAACTTCTCCATCCCCTCCACCTCACAGAGATGAACCTGGGGGAGCAAGAGGCAGCCATTACCTCTGCTGATTAACAGTGTCCCTCAGCCCCTGGGAGCTGGGAAGAGCTTTGCCTGAGCCCTGCTCAGAGCAGGTCCAGTCCCCACTCACCTCCCCAAACTGGCCTTCCCCGAGCTTCTCCTTGAAGGTCAGGAGCTTCCTGGGGAACTCCTCGACGGCCACATCCTTGCCGGAGAGCAGGTCCATGGTGAGGGCCGGCACTGAGTAGGTGTTGCCGCCTGTCACGCCCTGCAGGTTCACGATGTCGGCCTCAGCATAGTGCGGGACGCCCTCGGGGACGCTGGCCTGGGACGGCTTCACGGGGCCACTGCAGCCTGGGGGGACACAGCGGGGCCAGCCCTGCCATGGGTGTCCTGCCCTGCACCCTCTGCTGCCTGGGGGCTGCTCCCACTCCAGCTGCTGGCTTCTCCATCCCTGTCCTCCCCAGAGCCCCCGCACCACCCCAGCACGGCTGGGTTCCTGCAAGAATCACAGGCCGCTCGACTCCTTCCCAGTTACTGACAAACACACTGATCCAGCCCTGAGCACCAGATGAGAAGGGATCAGTGCCCGACCTCCAGATCACTCAGAAAGAGATACCAGAGCATCCAGAGGATGGTAGTGGGACACAGCTCAGTCTGGCAGTGGACATCAGTGATGGCTCTCGGTCACAGGCTTTTTGTGACCTCCACGTGGGATGCACAGGAGCTTTGTCGACCTCTCTCCTCAGTGCCAAAATGTTTGGAGATTGGCCAAAAGCTGGGGCTGGGTAGAGGGGCTGCAGCAGCCTCAGTGCGTGGTAGATGGCTCTGAGCATGCAGGGTGTCCTGGCTCTCACCTGTGTCCTCCTCCCCAGAGGTGAACTCGGGCAGCTTGCGGATCAGGCGGGAGGGCTCCTGGTAGTCAGGTCCCAGGGGGAATATGCGGTCGTAGGTGGAGCTGGACTCCTGCTCACTGGAGGAGGAGGAGCGGTTGTGGTTGAACATGCTGGATTCACTGGGCAGGGAGAGGCTGACGGTCATTTCATCATCCAGCATCCTCCGTGATGCCTGTTAGAGGGGGGAAGGGAGGAGAGAGATGGGGTTCTCCACAGCATGGGCAGGATGGGGTCTCTTGTGTTCCATGGTATCAGTGCTGCACCCAAACCTCTTCTCTGGTGCCTGTCCCAGGGATTCAGCACCCACCTGGGTTTGTCCTCATGTTCCCCCTTCTCTTTTCTGCCTCTATGGAGGAGAGTTTTGCTCCATCACTTCTGTGACTGCCCTTGGTTAGGTGGCAGCTGTGGTGAGACTCCCCCAGGCTCCTCTTGCCCAGATCAGCTTCAGGACAGAGGGATGGACAAGCAGGCAGGCCCCAAAGTGACTACCCTGCTCAACTAAATCCCCTTGCTTGAGAGATGGGTGCAAATTGCAACCTTCCTGAGGAGGAGAGGGGAGCATCAGCCCTTACATGGAGTCTGCTTTCTCTGTACTGAGCTTCCAGAAGAACCTGCCTAGGATGAGTCTGCTGCCCTGGAGCACCTCAGCAGCCACCCTGTGCTTGCCCACCTTCTCCAGCATCTTCTGCCAGAACTGCCGCCACAGGATGATGACAATGATGGCCACCAGGATGAAGATGATTGCCACGAGGCACCCGATCAGGATGCGTGTGTTGCTGTCATCTACCTTGAGCGTGGGGTCTGGCAGGAGAAGGGTACAGCAAGAGCTGGTCACACTGGCATGTGGGGAGACCCCCTGCCCCCCCAGAGCATCCCTCACCCATCACAGGGCGACACAATTTTGATGCCTTACCGTAAGTGGTGGGGACCACGGGTGCCTCGGCGGGGGGCACCGAGTTGTTGTACATGGCTGCATCTGGCAAGGGAGCAGAGGAGAGCATCAAGGTGGAGGTGCCCCACAGTTCCACTCTCTCCTTAAACCCCCCCCCCAGTAGGGTCTGGTCCCCATGGGACTCATGGCAATGGGTACCTGACTGGAAGGTGATCTCACTGAACATCATCCAGGTGTCAGCGAAGTAGTACTGGCACTTGATGGCACTGGCCATGCGGTGGAGCAGGGGCACGGTGACGAAGCGGGCACTGGGGTTCACATCATCCACAACCAGCACTGAGGAGATGGTGCTGGGCTCCCACTCGCTGGCATCGGCACGGAAGTAGCACTGCACCTCCTTGAAGATCTTCACCCCTTTGGCGAACATGTTGTTGCAGTGGACCTGCGGGTCAGGCTGTCAGTGCGGCCACAGAGGGGGATGGGGGCGGGTGACAGGGCAGGGGGTGTGCAGACCTTCATGGCAGTGAAGTTCCTGATGCGGTCGAACTCGAAGGTGATCTCCACGTAGCCAGCAGTGGTGCTCTCGTTGCGCCAGCCCACATAGTCATAGCCCGGCCAGACATGGTACTCATGGGTCTGCGTGAAGTCATCCAGCCCCGACACCCCGTCCGTCAGCTGGCCCAGGCCCTCTGTCATGCTGGCACATGCGAGGGAGGAAAGGGAGTGTGACTCCTGCCAACCCCACAAACCTGCCACCACCCAGCACTTGCCCAGCAGCTCTTCACAGCCCCTGAGACAATCAGGAAGGGGTTTAGTTATTGATGTTCTCTCTGGAAAAGGCTGTGGGGTGCTGAAGGTGTGGTGTAGATTCCGTAAATCCAAGGGGTGCTTGCCCCATCATACTGTCCCCCTCGTGATATGTATCCTCCCCAAGCTGGCCCTGCCTCCACTTCGGGGAGACTCCAAGCATTTGCTTTGCTGAGGATCAGCACACCAGCCTGACAATGCAGGGAAGAAGCAGCCCCAACCCCTCCTGCCCAGTGTGGCACCCAGTCCTCACCTGTACCCGAACGCCCCATCGTACACCGAGTCGTTCAGGTAGATGACGGCGCCCCCAGGAAGGATGAGCTGCTGCCCAGCTGGTGCGTTGTAGGACACCAGCCCATCTGCAGGGAGGGGAGAGTGAGTAGGTGGACACCCTGCCAATACCAAAGCCCTACCAGCCCCCAGCGGGACAGATACACCCCAGTGGGATGGCCAGCCCCTGCACTGGGCTCTGGGGACAGAGGAAGAAGCACAAGACTGCACCACCCACCCAGCCAGACGCAGCCGTACAGCTCCACCCGCAGGCAGACGCTCATGGAATGGTCAGTGACTGGGATGAATCGGACAAAGCGGGCAATGAGGGGCGGCTCCAGGTCCTTGAGGACAATGTCATAGGGGTTGGTGTTTCCATCCAGCACCTGGGGAGAGAGAAGCATGGTGGGGATGGGCAGGAGGAGCCTCCTCACCAACCACCCAGTGCAGCACTCACCCGCCTCCTCACCTGCTTCCCATGCCGGTTCCTCCAAGAGATCCAGCGGGTGCCATCTCGGCTGTAGTTGATCTTATACATGGGGGCAAACTCATTGCCATGGCCCTCAGCGTGGCGCCCCTGGGTGCCCACCAGCGTGATGAAGTGCAGGGCGTGCAGGTCAATCTGCAGAAACTCCTTCAGGTCATTTGGCTCCACTGCAGTCTCAGGGCACCAGGCTCCATCACCATCCTCCGAGTCCAGCCTGTGAACACACAGTGGAGGAGCTGTTTGCAGGAAGCCAAAGCCAGCCCCATGTCCCCCTTCTCCCCTCCGTGGCAGCCCAGACCCTGCCATGGCTGTTGCAGGAGAGTCCCCACACTCACCGGCCGTACTTGGCAGCTGTGGAGTCAGACCACTGGCTAGAGGCTGAGATGTCCTCGTCAGGGATGTGCCCGCCCGACATTCCCAAGGGGTACCGACACACCGCTGTAACGAGACCAGCAGGGCACTGAGCAGGCACTTTCCCAGCCCAGATACGTGTTGAGAATGGCATGGGCTGGGGCACATCCACCACACGGCTGGCACTGCAGCCCCGGCACAGCACTCTCCATCCCCCTGGCTCACAGAGAGGACAAAGCAGGATGGTGTGGTCCTGCCAATGCAACACCTGCCTAAGCAAATGGAGCTGCTGGCCAGAAGTGGATGCCAGCCCAGCTCGAAGTGAAGCAGGAGCAGGGGAAGGCAGTGCTCCAAGGGCTAATAGGCACACCAGGCCCTGTCCCTGGAGATCCTGTCAGTCCTGCTGGCAGGCACTCCGGCTGTGGTAGAGAGCCTGTGAGCTGGCACCACTATCCATGTGCTCCTTGTTCTGGGGGAACCCCAAAAGCTCACTCCAGAGGCCACTCATCCAAAAAACTCACCTGCAGCAACTGTGCCATGCTGCCATGCTGCTCCCCCCACCTGCCTTGGGGAACAAGTCCTGACCCCTGCCTTCCGTGCTGACCCCTCAGTTCCCATCACCAGCTCTGCTCCCACCCTGGCTGCGAGTGGAAAAGTACCCAGTGTGGCAGGCAGGCTGCGTCCCCGAGTGGCAGCCGGCTCCCCCCGGCACCACATCCACGCTGCTTCCCAGGAGTTATTTTTTCACGCCTGGCTGCCAAGAGCACTGCTGAAAGGCCGGCTTGTTTGGCTGTGTTTACTGTCTGGCCGCTGGCTCCAGCCCACCACACTCCCTCCACACACCACCCCGAGCAAACACTCGCACCGGGGAGGCAGGGACCAGCAGGATGCTGTGCCCAAGCCACCTCCTACCCCCACAGCCTCCAGTGCTACTGGTGCTGCACCAGCAAAGAACGTGCATCCCAGCATGCTGCCATCCCCAGGACCATGTTCTGCATCAGACAGAGGGATGAGTGCATCTTCATCATGAGCACTGGCACAGTGGGAGCACCTCTTGTCTCCAGCTCTCCCACTTGTGATGCTCTGCAGAGCGCAGTTCCCACCAAATTCTCATTTAATTCTTGCCAAACATGGAGCCAGCTCAGCTCCTTTGCCCAAGGTAATAAAAATCCTGGCCAGGTAAAACCAGTGCTGCCAGGCCTAGGTGTCTGTAGGAGAAACAGGATTGCCTCCCTAAGTAAGCACTATGAAGCCTCTGGGGAAGACCCAGTGACCCCTTCTCACAGATGGAAGAAGACTTTGAAGGGATTTGTTACAGGGATGACCCTGGGAAATCCTGGCATGCTGAAGGAGCCTGGGCTGTGTTCATCCCTGAAACACAGGATGGGGCTGAGCCCTGCAGAAACAGCCACCTAAACACACTTCTCCCACTGACAGCCAGCACAGTGTTATGGTTTCGAAGTAGAAGCCAGGCACCCAGTCAAGCCACTTCACTAAAGCCAGCCTTGGTTTGCTGCAAAACCACCAAAGAAAGCACAACACAGCAGCAGAAAACAATGCCTGAGCACCTGGCAGCCTCAAAACTGAGTGGGGTCAACGAGCCCCCAGTAGGGAAGAGCCCCACCCAGAACCCAGGGTTCCAGCTGCAGTGCTTTGCCTGTTCCCCAATGTCCCACTAACTGATGGGGGTGGGACAGTGCCCGTGGCACACAGAGGGAGCTCTCTGGGTCACTGCCAGTGGCCAAGCCATATGCAGGACAGCAGTGTGCCCAGGCAGGTGCAGGCTTGGAGGGCCATCACATACTGCTCCCAGAGATGATGGAGATGAGCCCAAACTTGGACATTCTGGCATTTCCCTGGACAGACCAGGGAAATGCCCCTCATGGCACCCGCAGCCCGTCTCACTTACCAGGGTTGACCTGGGCTCTTGCAGCCTGTGGGACGTGCAGCAGCAGCAGCAGCAGCAGAGCTGGTCTGGGGGTGGCCGGCATGTCGGCAGTCCTGTGGAAACAGATACAAGGCTCGTCACACTGAGGCAGCTGAGCCACGTGGAAATGTCAGCCCTGCTTGGGGCAGCCAGCTGAGAATGGGAGCACTTCCCCTGCATGAGCCCCCATGTCCCACCTCGGCCCGGGGGAGGCGCAGAGCCCCAGACCTCAGATATATGATGGTGGTCAAAGGGGTCCCGGTGTCCCATCCCCTCCACTACCATCCCTGGGAGCCATGGTACACCAAATCCCTGGAGCTGGCCACACATAATGGCCACAGGACCCACATAAACCTCCCAGGGCTCTACTCTGACCCACACGAACCTCCCTGGGCTCTGCTTGGGCCCACTGCCATCCGGCTCCAGCGCCAGGCAGAAAGGCTCCGGCTGGGCCGCCCACCCTTGGACGGCTTTGAAAGCAAGAATTTGCACAACCCCATCATATAAGACAATAATAGCACGTTTCAACAGGCGGTTTCCCTGCCTGCTGGCTCTGGAGAGAGGAAAGCAGATACTCGCCCGAGATTTACGGCGTATTTATTGTGACAGCTCCCTGTGGCAGAGTGGATCTCAGGGACATGCATGACAGAGAAAGGTGTGACAGAGGGCATGGGAGCCAGCTTATACCCACTGCCTCAAGGGGAGCGTGGGATGAAGCTGGAGGAGACTGGGGTCCTGGCAATGGGGCTCAGGCTGCAGCAAGGGGAGAAAAAGTGCCAGTGCTGGCAGGGCTCCTCCTCGGAGGGTACAGCCCACAGCACAGGGGGATCCCCCCAGGACATGCCTGCCTTCATGCCAGTGCTTTCACCACAGTCAATCAACCTGGCTCTGGCAAGCTGCCAGGAATCCCCAGAGCCTCAGAAGCTCCCACTGCACCCACACACCTCTGGGGAACCACCACGGGGCTTGGCACCACACCAGGGGATGCACCAGGGACACCCCTATATGCCACCAGCCCTGCCCTAGGCTTCCTGGGCTTCTGCCCCTCCTCTTATTTGCCAAGGGGGCACTTCACACAAGCACCAGATGCAGATTAGTCTTCTTTTTATTAAAAAAGTCTATTTTAATCTAATTTACATGCATGTTAAACTTTAGAGAACAACTTATTAACCTGAGGGTTAAAGGGACCATAGCTCCTGGCCAAGTGGGACCTGGCTGCTGGGGTAAATCCCACCCGAGCCCACTGCAACAGCAATGTCTGGGCTGGGCTGGCACATCCTGAAGGCCAGCCCAGCACCAGTGATCCCACAGGTGGGTGCTTGGTTGTGTTCTTGCATCAGCCCCACACAGGGTCCCACAACCTTGTCCCCACCACCAAGAAAAACCCAAACCCAACCCAAACCATCTGCCACACATCAGATGCCTTTATCCCACAAAGTACAGCTGGGAGGTGCTGGATATGATTCCCTGGTCACTGCCAAAGCCAGGGTTTGGCAGAGCAGGAGGAAGACAGGGGTTTGCTGAGACCATGCCAGCACCCAAAGGGAGTGTAAAACCCCAGAACCTGCCACCTGCATTCTACTAGAGGCTCTCTGCACCCCACAGCATACTGCTGGATTCCTGGGGGACTCTGCTAAACACCACGAGCTCTGCAGTAGGCACAAATAAACACCTGCACTTGGAGTGATTCTTCCCCCTTTTTCATTTTTTTTAATTTTTTTTTTTTAAAGAACAATATGTTGTTGCTTTTTTTTCTATTCCCAGCTGGTAAAGCTTAGCTAGTTGCAACCAACTCAGCTACAACTGGGAATTTCAGCTGCATTGCCGAGAGGTACACAGGAGGCTCCTGTGTTTGATGATGGCCAGTTCCCCCAAAATTAAAATCTCAATTTCCTTCTGCATTCCAAAAAATATCCAGGGATATTTTTTTCCCCACTGTTCTTTCAGGCTGAGTAAACTCTTTAAGCATCAGGATACCAGATGCTGTAATCTCCTGCAGGGAATGCATTTACATTTAGTCTAATATAGGGAAATCATCCCCACGTAACCATTGGGAAGTGCTCGTCGCTCCTCAGGGGAGTGGGGCTGGGGGACACTGGGGAGACAGTGAGTCAGGTGCTGAGGCTGGGGGCTCAGGGACACATGGTCAAACTGGCCCAGTAGTACTGGCAACCCAGCTGGAAATCATTTCTGTTCCACCAGGCCCGCAAAAGGGGTGACTTTGCAACGTTTTGACTGAAAACGTTTGCTGAAAATTTTCAATTACTGGAAATTTTTAGTGCAGAGAGTTTCTGGAGCTCCTCCCTGGCATCACCTGGGCTTTGAGTTTCCCTTGGCCACTGCTTTTTTTTGTTTTGTTTTCCCTTTTTATTTCCCTCCTTTCTTATACTACTGAAATAACCAGGTAGAATTACCAGGGGAAAAAGTAAATCCACATTTGTTAAGAGAGAAACCCCACCTGACCTGTGGTTCCTCTTGCACTCCACCCATGCCAGCTGGTGAGACCCCCAGCTCGCTTCCCAGGTGGGCACTGCTGCCCATGCTGGCACTGGAGGAGCATCAAACATGGAGAGGGGCTGGATAGCAGCAGGTCCTGGACATGGGTCTCCCAGGACTGCCAGGGCTCCCTTTGCAACTCCCCATCCTTGCATGGGGCTGGGGCTCCCCTCCTGCTGGGATGGCAGGACACGCCAGGGCCATGCTGTAGGGAATGTCCTTCCTGGAGCAGCAGTCCGTGACCCTGGCCCAAGACATGCAGTGTGTGGGTAAGGAGGGTTCAGGATCCCCACCCCAGCTGGCACTACAGCCCCCAGCATGCTGTGCCACCGGCACAGCCTTGGCAGGAGCACAGCGCAGCATGACGGGACCCGTAGTCCTCCTCCCTTCCAAAAATAACATTTTAGACCTTCTCCGGGCTGGATGCAGCCCCACTTTCTTCAGCAGCAAGCGCCTCCCCAGCCACAGGCTGCCTGGCTCAGCCCGGGGCATCACAGCCGTCCAGGGTGCGAGGAGCAACTGGCACATCCCCATGGCTGCCAGCTGCCCTATAGAGACCTGCCAGGAGCACAGCCCATGGACAGGGGGCCTGGGGACACGGTGCTGTGGATGCTGCTGCAGCAAGCACTCCCCGCCAGCCGAAAACTTCCAGCCCTCCTCCACGCTCTGCGCCACGGCGCACAGCGCTGCCCCGCAGCATCGCTCCGACACGACGCGGGCTTGGGAAGCCACAAGTGAGTTCCCAGCACCAGGACAGGGCACGACTCTCAAAAGTACCAGACCAGTGGCCCTGTGTCCCCTACCTGGTGTGACCTGGTGCCTGGCTGGGGGACAGCAGGGCCTCTCTGGCTGGCCAGCACTGCCGCCGGCTCTGCCAACAGACACATAGGCGGGAGCTGAGGAGGGACACCAGGAAATGCTGGCCCGGCACGAAGCACGGGGGGAAACACTGGCAGTGGGGGGACAACTGGTGAGAAGTGGCCAAAAGTTATGTCCCAAAGCGGAAACACTGCCCTGCTTCTGCCCCAGCCCCTTACCAGGTAGACCCACACCCCAGCCCCTCTGCCGAGGTTCCGCCGCAGAGCACAGCTCGCCCCACATCCCACCAAAATCCCAAACCTACGAGGGGCACACGCCTCTCCAGCCTCTCCACGTACCCAAGAGCAACTCACCGGAGCGGGGAGGCGGCGGCAGGCGGGTGGGCTCCTCGCCCCTCGCCTGGGCCGGGGGAGCCAGGCGAGGAGCGAACTTCCCCGGGCTGATGCAAGATGCCTCTGGGAGCGTTTTTGCATTCTGCGGATTCCTGGGAGCCGTCCAGAAATCCCACAATCCTACATCTTGCACATTTGGTTTCAATTAGGGAGCGGAGAGGGGGAGCCAGTCAGCAATCCGGGCTGGCTTTTCGGCGGAGGTTATTTTCCTCGGCCCGAGGGAATGTGTGCAAAGCTATAATTTACAGCAAAACCCATTCATAGCGCAAGAGAAAAAATAAAAAGATCCGCGTGGCCGGCAGGGGAACTTAAAGCAATAGGCAGCGTTTTGCTTTCCGGCACTCGCCCCCGCGGCTGTAGGATGGCACGTGTGTCCAGGACCCTCCTCCTGCACCGTAGGGCCACGGGGGACACCCCCATAATGTGGGCAGTGGAAACACTCCATGAGACCCCACCACTGTCCCAGAAGGTCCCACATGGACTACCCCTCTCCGGGCCCCTGGTGGGAAGGGTATCAGACTCCTGCGCGGGCACGCACGGCCAGGACACGGCCCGGAGTGCCGACCTGCCTGGCACACGGCATGGAATCAGCGCTCCAACTCCCCGAGCTCCACGCTGAGCTGGCGGTTTTACATCATTTCCAGGCACTAGCTTGGCACTGCAGCCATTGACTATGCAACGCAGCAAGGAGAAAATAATAATAATAAAGGGCTCGCATTAATTTTTGTGCAATAGCAAAAACCACAATTAAAAAAAAAAATTGAAAAGCAACTTTTTTTTTTTCAGACTAGTGTTTTGGCTGTATTTTATGCCACTGCCACACTGTGGGAGGGAAGCAGCACGCCTGGCAGCAGGCCAGTAGCTCCCTAAAAAGCTCTCCTGTCTTGCAGGACACCCCACAGCTCCAGGACTCTAGGCTTGCTCCTAAACACAACCTCCTCACCATACTCCCAGCCTGTCTGCTCTCCAGACAGACCAACTGAGTCACAGGCAGGGTGAGCCATCCACTCTCCACAGCAGATTCTGGTGACCCTCACCACTGCTACCAGAGGGGCTGCAGTGCCAGTTGAGCCAGGGGTGCCCAGAGTTAGGGCACAGCTTCCTCCAGGCTGGCAGGGAGGGCAGGCAGGGAACGGGTGAGGGCAGTGCCTGCTGCAGGGCTCTGTAGTGCCCCCTTGTACTGCCCCAGATCAGCTGGCAGGGAGAAGCGCAGCCCTATGTGCACACCCACAGAAATGCCAGTCAGCTCTGCTCTGCTCCACTCCCCTCCTGCTACCTGGAATCAGTACTCAAATAACTTGGCAGCAGTCAGTGCTGTGCTGCTCTGTCCCAGGACCTAACACAAAGGTGGTGGTCTGCAGAGCCAGAAGCCAAAGCCTGGGCCACACACAGTCCAGACAGCCAGCACAGAGCCACCAGCAGGCACAGCGCCAGCCAGGACCCCCCGCGTGGCCCTGGCTTCCCAGGCACACTGCCTGGGAAACTGAGCGCTTGGCTGAGCCTAGGATGCCCAACAGCCACCTTAGCACTCACAGGACTTGGTGACTTCCCCTGGGGGAGAGAGGTTTGGGTCCCATTCGCAGCCCTGCAAGGGAAAATCCCTCTCCAGGCAGCGAGGGGGCAGGGGGAGTCAGTGACCAACCACACCGGGGCTGTGATGGGACAGGATCAGGAGAGGAGCTGGCCAAGCTCCTTCTTTTCCCAAACAGGAGGGGAGGCAGCACAGCTGCTCTGCCCGGGGGCATCAGGACGCCACACTCCACAGCAGTGTGCTGTGGAAGGAGCCCTCTCAGGAAAAGCAGAGGGCACACAGCACTGCTGGAGGGCTCCATGCCAGGCTGGCTTCACCCTGAGCACTCCGGCAGCCCAGCACACCCGCCTGTTCCTACCTGCTCAAGGCTTGCCACTGTCTGCAGGAATACAAGAGGAAAGTGCAACTCTCTGCTTCCTCCAGAAATGCCCCAAAACAAGCACTGCAGGCCAGAGGACCCGCTTGCAGCCACCCCAGGCAGCAACCCTTGCTGCACTGGCAGAGCACGTGGTATGATACAGTCAGCTCTCTACTCCATGAGCAGAGCCTTGTGGAAAGTCATCGTCACTCAAACACCACCAGATGACAAACAGGAGGGACTCAGAGTTTAATTGGGTGCTTCCAGTTGTGCAACATAGAAAGGATGACCAAAAGGAGGGACATGGGCAATGACAGGGACCCTATTAAAAAAAAATAGTCATGTAGATTTAAGAAAAATAAAAATTCAAGATTAATCCCAGCCCCGTACCATAAAAATCCTCTCTCTGCATGTACAATGAGTACTACTATATACATGTTTAAAAATAAATGCCCACAGCCTGGAGTGCAAAGAGCAGCACACCATAGCTGTGCTTCTTGGCAGGGGAAATCCATAAAGTGTTTGGTTTTTAAATTAAAATATAAATAGAAGCATACAATGTGCTGAGAACCAAGTGGGCCACATCCTCCCCTGCACAGGGCTGGAGTGAGCAGGACCAGCCCCAATCAGTCACAGCTATAAACCTTCATGTGTCTGAGTTCCTGGCAGGATGGACAGCCCTGCTTGGGCACCCTGCTGCCACTACATCCCATTCTTCACCAGCTCGTGGATCCCATCCTCGTCAATAATCAAAGGTGCGCGAAACTCTCGGTCCTTCACGTACTTTTCCAGACCCTACAGGAAGACAAAGTGGCTCATTAGGAACACACCACGTGTCATCTGCTCTGCTGACCCACTGAGCTGCTCACAGGTGGCTCTGGTCCCCTCCTGGGCTAGCAGCTTGGGGGACACTGTCTCAAAAAGCCCCACAGGGAATTCAAGTCACACATCCATGGCTTATCCCCTCACGTGTGTGCCCTGCCAGCCCCTCCACCTGTCTAGTCCATCTGCAAGGACCTCTTCAGCTCTGGAGAGTCAGTACTCACTTCTCCTCCATAGGACACGAGGGGAGAAATTTCACACTGGATTGGCAGGTCGTTTGCATCCTTCAAGCTGCAGAGAAAAAGTCAGGAGAGTTAGTTACATTCCACCAGGGGACATGGACGGGGCCCAAGATCTTGCTGATGCCAGGTGGGGGGTCAGCACAGAGCTGCCACCAGCAGAGAGCTGCCCTGGGTTAGTCAAGCCTTGCGTGCTCTTCACAGAGGTGCAAGTGAAAGTTTAGATACCAGCAGCGACTGAAAGGGAAGAGAGCTTTAGATGTGGGTTTCATGATGCCTTTCCATGTGTGCAACTACAGCAGTGCCTGTGTCCCCAGCCCCACTATTTTTGATGCTGCATGCAAACTAGTCACTCCTTCCTCCTCCTCCCGCACCCTTGGGGTGATGGCAGATGCACTCACACAGCACTTTGCCATTTGCTGGCTATAACTGGTCTTTCTTTCAGCACTCTCCTGCTTAAAGCACAATCTGAGGACGGAGGGTAAGCCTGTCTGCTCGCTCAGAAATGCTCCCTGCAGCACTGTTTGCTCCTCCTGCCTTTGCCTCTTAGATCAACTGTTTCAGCTCCTTTGTTCCGCCTGCACGCTGGCAGAGCAGAACATCAGAACCACACCAGTACTGGCCACTGCAGCAGCACTGCTGGGCAGGGGGCTGTGTGGGGGCCCCAAGGCTGCTCCTGCTGCCACTAGCCTTCGTAGGACCCCCTCCCAGATACTCCCCGGATCCAGCTGGCATATAAGACTGGACATGGGGGTGCAGCCATGTGGAGCCAACAAGGAGCCACAGCAGCACCCCAGGGTGCCCCTTCCCAGCCACTCGTCACGGCAGCCAGGCAGGCATGGCAGGATGTCATCCATGACAATGCTCCCTTCACTTTGGTTAAAGCTCATCCCTGCTGCCACACACTCACTCAGCAACCCCCCTGTCCCAGCTGTAAATAAAACTCACCCATCCTAACCCAGCTCTCATACTTGTGTTTGCCTTGGAGTTAGATTCCAGATAATTGTTAAAAAAAAAAGAAAAGAATTGACATCAACTGTCAATGAAGAGTAAATGTAGGATAAGGTGTGTCCTTCTTCCTACGTTATAACTAGTGTGATAGCCCAGTCATAAGCCTGTAAATGCTTGGAGTCTGGAATTAAAACAGAGATCCTAGGAATATCTCACCAGAAAGTACTATAAGATACAACTTCTGAAGCGGGGAAGGTAACAAGCTTGCTTAGAGCTGGTGAATGACTCGCAGACCAAGTCCCAGACACCCCACCTGCCCTGTGCCTACAGAACGTGCTGCTGTTAACAGAAGTGTTAAAGCTCTCCCGTGTATTCCTGTAAACTTTCAAGTGCTGAGCCAGGGGCTTTCCCTGGTGTCATGGTCTGGATGTACCAACCTCAAGAGCTGAAGTCACACAAAGCACAGCTGGCTGCTGTGATGTGATTCACACATGCTACATCAAAGCCTGCTTGACATTAACTCAACGCTTTCAATCCTGTTTCCATCTGCCTGGATGCCTGGCGGACATCGGGAGATGGCAGCCGTCTCCAGCACTGGTACCAGCCAGGACCAGTCCAGCCTGTGCTGTGCCATGGTGTGATTAACAGGGGGGTGTCATCGAAGGGACGTGCCAGCATGTTTCCCAACAGCATCCCGCCTGTGGGGTGTCCTTTGGGGGCTGTGGGCAGTCAGCATGAGGCTGCTGCCACCCCGCATCCACACCAGCAGCACAAGCCCCATCCAGTCATCCCCGCCAGCTGCCCCTGCGGAAAGGATCCTAGGAGGGAGCAGACGCTGCCTACTGCCCGCCACCATGAGAAGCAGCATCCACGGGGACGAGCGGTGGGACGTGCCCCGCTCCCAGCATGCGGCCCAGAGCCCCCCAGCCCCGTTAGTGGCTGCGGGCACCTGTCCCAGCACGCACCCACGGCCTGGCCTACAGCCCGTTAGCACCTAAGCACAGCCCCGCCACCATGCACGCTGCACGGTATAGTTACTTGTCTTTGACATCTGCTGGCGTGGCAGTGGATCTTCCGTTTGGGATGCTACATGGGAATAGACAAGGGTTAGCGAGGCAGGGAAAAAACACAGCAGAACAAGTCTGAGCTTTGCTGATCTCCAAAGAGGGGTTGTGGGGAGGGTCCTGTGGTCAAGGGATGCCCTGACTCCAGCCTGGCTGCTGTATGGATCTGCTGCTGCTCTTGGGCTTTAGGGAGCCACCTCCTCCCTGCAGAGGCAACCTTGGCTGTGCAAGGCAGTCTGGCAGGATTTGGTTCAGAGGTGTTGAATCAAGAAGGAAAGCTGCTGCTGAGTGAGCAAGCGCTGCTCCTGTGGCCACCACTCAGCCCACATCCAGCTCTGCCCCACGGACCATCCAGGAGAAAGGACCCATAGCTGGTCACTTCAGTGACACTGTTATAAGGAGCACTGAAATGCAGAAGGGCTGGGGACTGCCTTGTGCCTTATATCCAGCCCAAAAAAGGATGCAGGAGTGCCAGGAGCAGCAACTCACCGAGGGATGGCAGGGATGCGTGTGCCGTTTTCGTCTACAAAGTGCCCCCCTGCATTGAGAACCCAGCAGTGGTGCAGGGACATCAAGGCATGTCGGGCTGTGGTGGGGTTGTCCTTGCCATTCTGGCTGTCTGCATTCTTCAGGGGAGAGAACTCGTCCTCACGCAGCACCTCGTACACCACAAACTTCCTTAGGGGGAAACAGAGCATGGGAGGGTCAGGTTTGGAAATCGTGGCTGCTTCATCACTTCTCCCCTGCCAGGGTGGCTGAGCTGGGGCCATGGCCCTCCCACAGCCCACACCCATGGGCTGTTTTTTACAGTCATGAAGGAGGGAAGGGAGGGCCTGGGCTGTAGAGTCAGCAGATGTTCTTCTGGCCCAGGAGCAGGGCTCAGCCAAGCAAGAAGCACACAGCGCCTGTCCCTCCTGCTGCTCATCTCCAAGCACAAACATCCACTGCTGTGGCAAAGCACAGGAGCTGGCATCTTATCCCAATGCCAGGGCGTCACCAGTGGGCACACCCCTGGCACCACCCCGAAGGCTCTCAGAGCTGCCCAAGGCAGAGCCAACAGCCTCTTCCCCGTGGAGAGAAAAGGACATACTTGGAAAACTGGAAGATGTCAAAGACGAACTTTTCCATCTTAATCCCATTGGGCTTCTCAGGTTGGATTAACTGCCCTGTAGTGATGTCCACATGTGGGATCTTCTTCTCAGCTACATGGTGCTGCAGCTGTGGTTCATAAGTGCTGCAACAGGCCAAGAAAGAGATGTCACTTGCCTGAGCAAGCCACGTCCCCATCTCAGACACTGCTGCAGCAGGAGAGCCTCCCTGAGGCACAGGCTGCTCATCCCCATGGCAGCCAGGAGAGGACGGCTCCACACGCCTGCACTCCGGAAGCTGCATCCAGCTATGGCCAGAAGAAATCTTATCTCAAGGAAGAGACTGTGTGGAGAGGCAAGGGTCAGGCCACATGTGCAGAGGCTGGATATCAGGGGCCTCACATCAGCACACCTGCAAACAGCTGGAGCTTAGCCAACAGAAAGCAAGGTACAGTCGACTCCACTTGGCACCAGGACTCCAGCAGCACCCTAGCAGGCCCTTACTTGACTACATCTTTCAGGAAGGCAGTGGTGAAGTAGTGATTGGCGATGTTGCCCGCGTTGAAGAGCAGCCGCCCGTCCGGACCCCGTTTCTGGGCAGTGGCCAGGGAGATCTCGCTGTACTCCACCACCTGGTACACACCATCCACTCGGCACACCACACCCACCGGCTCCGTGGGGTTGGTCTTCTCCACCACCTGCCCAAGGGAAGGACTGTCAGAGAGACATCCAAAGCCCAGCACTTCCAATATACTCCCTTGTACCCAGCATTCCCTGCCAAGGCTTTTTGCTGTGCTGGGATAGTGCAGGGATAGGGATGCTGGAGCCCTCCCCTCTCAGGTACTTCTGGGAATGGGGACTAGAGGAGGATGATGGCAGAAATGGGTGACAGGGTGTCAGACACACCCAGAGGGTGCGGGCAGGATCTGGCACCAAGCCCATGTGCAGCTGGCAGAGGGATGGATATTTTTAGGCAGCTTGCTGTGCACAACCAGGAGGCTGCTGGCTCAGCAGAGCCATCCCCCTACACTTGACCTCCCTCCTCTTCCTAGCAACCCACATACCTCCATCTGGGCACAGCAAATCCCTACCCATCACTGTCACCACAGTGGGGTGGCATGTAGGGACAAAGGGCATTCTGCTTATTTCCTCTTTCTCTCGTGCAAGCCAGGAGGAGGAACTGCTTTCCCTTTCTCAGCTTGCTCTCTGAAAGCTTCAGACCCAGTAAGTCCTCTTGTCTGTTTGCCAGAGCCAAGCCCAATGTAAACAAAAACAGCCTCTTTGGCTGTTAAGCCAGTCTTTAGGTAAAGCTTGGAGTATGCAATGTCCTATCCACAACACACAGGGCTGGGTTCAGTGTGTCAGCTGCACCCACCAGATCCTGGTCCGGTGGCCCAGGATGTCACTCCTGGGGACAGCTGGCAGCCTATGGCAAGGATCTTGTCCACCTGTGCTACCCACAGCCACCTGGAAAACAGCTGCCCAGCATCCAGGTGTGAATCAGGGAGCTCCCCAGGACTCCCCAGGAGCCTCTTGGCCCCAGGCACTAAGGGACCTCTGAGCCCTGGGCCTGTCAGTGCCACATTCCTGTGCAAGACAGGAGAGGAATGGCACCAGGCAGGGCTCAGTGATGCCCCACATCCCCCACAGTGCCAAGGGCAGGCAGGACTACCCAAGGGGCAGGTAGGATTGGCAACATGTGCTACTTCACCAGTATGCTCCTGGTGCTTAGCCATCCCTTCTGAATGTGGTGAACCAGAAAACAAAGGATGAGGAATCAGGGAAGACAGGCAAGGAGCAGGACAGACCCTACTCGGCTCAAGGGAAGCAGTGCCTGCCAGCCCCCAAACCGTACCTTAGCCCCACAGTCTGCTCCCTTCTCCAAGCAGAACCCAATGAACCTGGGGTCAGCCACCTTCACCAGGATGTTGTCCACGCAGTACACATGGACACTCTGCACACCCCTCCGCTCCATGTCGTCCACGATGCCGTGTGCCCCCAGGGCTCGGTACAGGCCCCCATTGCCATCTGCAAAGAGAACAAACTATTGGGGCTGCAGCAACACCCAGCAGTCCCATCAGCCACCCTCGCTCATCCTCCTTCCCCACAGAGATGGTGTGGAGGGTCGTCAGCCCAGCCATACCCCACCCTGGTCCTCCTTGCCAAGACAGACACCTCTCAGCCTACATCACCCGTCAGCCACGTCACACTGCAAGACTCCAACTCCAAAAAGTTTGTCCTCAGCACCACGTCTAGCCTCTGTGCACCCCTCCCATCAGCTCCCACCACTAACCTGGTGCCATAGCAATCTTGCCCTTCTCCTCCAGCAGGATTTTCCCATCAAACCCCAGGGCAGGCAGCATGCCCTGCTGGAAGAAGATGATGTTTTCCTTCTTCAAGCCAAAATAACAATGCTTCTGGAAGAATTCCTTGGTGGACTCCATAGTGCGGCCACTTGTCATGATGTACCTGTTGCAGAGCAGAAGACCCCCAATGAGCAGGGAGGAGAGGCAGGGTCTCACACCCCTCATCCCGAATATAGGGAACAGCCCTCTCCACGTTTAGGAAGATCTGACCTGCTGTCAGATGATGCCACCACTTTGGCAAGCCAATGAAGAGCTTTACTCTTCCTTGCAACATGTATCTCCAAAACCATAAAACACCCTGCACAGTGCAGGGGACACCCGCAGCAGCTTCTTCCTTGACAGCAACCTCCTGCTCACAGCACCACAGCTGCCCCTTGCTGCCTAGACCCCTGCTTTGCATGGCTGCTGTCCCATATGGGCACATGACAGACCTTCCCAAGGGCCATGGGGCTGAGTTTGACAACGTGGGACCTGCCAGTGCCACTCACTGAGCTTGGAACCACTAACTCCAAAGGGATATGCCCATAGCAATAGCACTGGTATCAAGAGGGGCTGCGCCAACCCATTGTTCCTGGGCGGTCAAGGGGCTCTGCATCAGCCCAGGGCCTGGGAAGGGGAACTGAACGAATCCGGGGGATCTCGGGCTGCTGACACCCACAGGGCTACACCGGCCCATCAGCGCCAACGGGATCCTGCCGACACCTCCCTGTTCCCCAGAGGCCACCCGGGGCCAGAGCTCACCAGGGGATATGGCAGGGGGTGCCGTGCTGCTCCTCCGCCAGCTGCTGCAGCCGCCGCAGGCGCTGGGCCTGGAGGTGGAAGAGGGTCTTGCGGGAGGGCAGCCCCACGTCGCACATGCCCTTGGGGTAGGGGACGCCGAGGCGGGTGCCCTGCCCGCCGGCCAGCAGCAGCGCGGCCACGCGGCTGCCCGCGATCTCCGCCAGCCCTGGGGGAGCACACACGCGTGGGGCCAGCGGCTCCGGCACCGCGCCGCGCCGGGCCCCGCCGCCCCCGCCACCTACCGCGGCTCTCCCAGCGCGGCACCAGCCCGCGGTCGCGGCTGGCGCTGCCCAGCACGTCCCGCGGCACCGGCTCCATCCGCGCGTCAAGCGCCGCCGCCGCTTCGCCGCCGCCGTCCCCGCGGGCGCGGCGGAAGAAGCGGTTGATCTCGGCCACGTCCATGCCGCTCAGCTCGGCCGCCAGCGCCCGGCGGGCCGCGCCGCCCAGCTCCTGCCAGAAGCGCAGCACGTGGCCCTGCCCGCCCGCCTCCAGCCGCTCCCGCAGCGCCGCGTCCATCGCGTCCGCCACGTCCACCGCGTCCGCCGCCTCCATCCCGCCCGCCGCCGCCGCGGGGCCGACGCGCCCCCGCCGGCATTTTATAGCTTCACGCCGCCGCCGCGCCGCCAATGGCCGCGCCCCGCGCCACGTGGTGCCCGCCGCCCGCCCAATAGGCGCCGGGGGAGGGGGCAGGACGGCCCGACCCCCTCGCGGCGCCGCCGCCAATGGGAGCGGCCGCTGCGGGGGCGCGCGCCGGAGGCTGCCATGGCAACGCGCGCCACGTCAGCGAGCGGCCCCGGCCGGGCCGGAGGGGAGGGGCCCATAAGGAAAAAACCCAAATCCCCCCAAAAATTCGCACGCGAGTCCCTGCGGAGGAGGAGCCCCGCGGGGAACAGCCCTCTCAGCCAGACGGGCCCGGGAACCTTGCCGGTCCGGGACCGGTGAGACACCGCTCGTCCCGTTATTCAGAGGGGGCGTGGTGTCACAGGCTCAGAACATCCCGAGTTGGAAGGGACCCACCGGGACCATCAGTCCAACCCTCAGCCCCGCACAGGACCCTCCCCAAGAGTCGCACCGTGTACCCGAGAGCGTTGTCCCAGCTTCCCGAGCTCTGCCGGGCTCGGTGCTGCGACACGGCCCCGGGGCTGTGTCAGCGCGGCCGCAGCCACAGAACCGCCCACGCGGCCCCCCCGGCGGCTGCGGGACCTTGTGCAACCCGCATCATTTCCCGGGAAGGCTCCTGCGTCACGGAGTGGTTTCCCCCCCGGATGACATCCCTTCGGAAGCCCTTATGCCAGAGCGAGCGAGGAACACGCCCGTGTGAGGTGTCCGTAGGCGGTGCTGCCGCAAGCAGCCGAGCCTCCAGTGACTGGGAGGGGACACGGTGGACTCTGGCCAGGCAGAGGTCACCCCGGCGCTCCCAACGGGGTTTTCAGCCCTGCTGGCGCACAAGGTGAGTAAGTTCCAACAGCCAAGCATAAATACCACCACCATGGCCAGGTCACAGCCCTGTCCCCCCAGACTGGTGCAGGGTGACAGAGAACTTGCCCAGCTACGTTTTTTTTCACCATCAGTGCCACAAGAACAGCACACTGCACAACCACTTCCTACTGAAGCATCGTTTATTAATCACCTGTATCAAGCACACATCTGCTCAGCAAGGGTGCATGACGGGATACAACAGTTGACATCTAACCCGAAGGGAGGCACGTGGTTACAGGATCCGGGGCCACAGCAGGAGGAAGTGTACTGAACCCTCTGGAAAGACAACCCGGGTGCAACACGGTGCCCGTTGTTAGGCTATGTTGTTAGGAGGCTGAAGACCAGTGAGAATAAAATTAGGAATACAGCTAAAATCAGAGCTGACTTGTGCTTTGGCCAGTGACTTAAACACCAGTTACCCTACGACTAAGGTAGGACTACATAGGTCAGTGCTACACCAAGGGCTATTGGGAGGGAGCAGCACAGACCAGGAAACCCAGCAAGCATCTGAGTGGAAAGCCTCAACACTTCTGCACCTCAAGCAGGCAGTAATCTAGAGACAAGGAAAGCCAGGCCCATCCAGGCACATGCCACGACAGACACCTTGGACTGAATCACCACTCACACCTGAGATACAATCTAGAGTTAAGAAACTCACAGGTTTTAGCAGGGCTAAAACTTATGCCAAGCCACCACTAGGATGCTGAGACACCAGAGTAAGCCTCATCTTGGGAGAAAGTCTTTGAAGACAGAGGGTGAGGAATAACAACAAAATGCATTGAAATCTCCCTGTACCCCACAGCCTGCAGAGGGATGGATCCAGTGACAGGACAGAAATCAGCATCTTCAGCTCTCACCAGAAGGAAAATGAAAAGCAGCTCTGGGGTTTTTGCCCAGCTCAGTGCTCAAGCCTGGTCAGTGAACATCAGGAGAAAAAGACCTTATAGCAGAAGTTTGCATCTGGAGGATTCATTTAGGTCCTATTAAAGCAGCTGAACAAAACCCCATCCAAACTCTAGTGGAGGAGCTCTACCATGCTGCAGGAACAGGCTGTAGCTCCTCTCTAAAGATTAATCCTGGCACAGCTCTTTTGTTGAAATCCCAAAGCATAATTCTGACTGAAAAAGAGATATGCTTGAAAGATGACAGAGCAGCTCACGGTCCTAGAGAAATGCACGTGAGAACTTAAAACACGTTCAAGTTCTGCACCTGCACCTCAACATCTCCCTGTCCTGGTACTGCTGTAGCTGACAGCACCCAGGGGAGCTCCCTGTGTCCCCACGTGGGTGGCACTCAGCAGGGCAGGAACTCTCAGGTTTGTTCCTGCCAGCTTAATGCTGCTGACATGATGGCATTCAACATGTGTAAGTCTGGGCCGAAGTGCTTTGACCCCTGGCTCAGCCCCTCAGGGACAGCAACAACGCAGAGCTGAGGCAGTCAGTCAATGCCTACCAATACTTCTTCACACTGCTCTTCACATAGGAAAAACCCTCACCCAGTTAATGATCCAGTTCCTCCCAGACACTAAAAGGTGTTTCACTGCAAGGACAGTTAAATTAAAAGCAATGAATCACACACCCCAAAGCTGGTTAACAGCTATGTACACCAAAGTAGCGTCATTCCCAGAAAAATGTGATCAGCAAATCACACCTTAAAACTCATTGTGGCATTTTTTTTTTTCCCTGGCAAGCCCACACATCTCAAAGGCAACAGAAGAATTCAGAGATTGGTCCTTTCAGGGGGAGTTTAGGAAGGGCCACGGTAGACAGGACTACACACCAGCACAGAGAGGAACTCAGACTTGTGAAATGCTACAGACATTGGATCTTCTGACACACCACACACAGGGCAAAAAATCAACAGGAACTTTTAAGTGCAGGATTCCAGCAAGTCCAGCATCCGCAAGATGCAAACAGTAAACTGCAAGGTAATTCAGGTATTATTCCAGGGAAGGTCAGGGATGGTTCAGGCAGCTGCCCACAAGTATTTCAGCTGGAGAAAAGAATTCAGGAGGGCTCTCCTCCTCACTAAAACTGGTACCAGGGTCACAAGCCACCACCAGCCACAAGCTGGTCATCCTGTAAGCAGGGCTGTTTCACCCTGTGCTCATCAGGAACAAAGTGCCTACCCTGCAGGGAGAGGCTCTGCTGGGTTACAGGTTTGGACACCCCTGGGAAACAAGTCACTGCCAACCCCACACTAGCAGCTGTGCAGTGTCTGCCTGAGCACTGCAGCCACAGGACCAAAGCGTGCTCTGGGGGGAGCGGCGATGCTGCTGGCCCAGTGCTTTTTCCCCAAAAGCACATGGCTGTTGTCCCTGACAGTGGGAAAGACCTTCTCCTGGCCAGTCCAGTCTGATGACTGATTAAGCCCTTTCCATACAGGATCTCAGATTGCCTCAGGCCCTTTGTGTAACCTATGAAGGACCAAAAGTGTCAGTGCTTCTAATCTACAAGTCTAATGGGTTAATGCAAAACCAAAACACACATCACAGAAAAGCCAAGCATGGGACTTACAACAGACAAATATTTGTTCTTATAAGACTCGCAGGGCAGGAGTCCTGCTGAGACACAAAGAATACTGCGTGCTGTAGCACTCCTTTCCAAAAACATCACCTAAAGATGCTTACATATTACAGATGATTTGGCATCAGAGCTAGGGAGCATCAGTGCCAGCACAGGGTATGTGCTAGAAAGATGACTCCACATGGCAGGGTTTTCACATCACCTCAGGCTACAAAGTGCTTACAGGTTGTGTGGGGACTGAGGCTGCCACTGCTCTGACCTGCTATCCACCACCAGTCCCAGCCCACTCCAGGCATACAAGCAAGCTCAGCTCCCCACAGGCATTGTCATCCACATCTCATTGCCTCAGCACAGATGTCTGTGCCAGGTCAGTTGGATGACTCTGCTTGGCTCGCGGTGACAGGGCAACCCCATAGGCTCAGCAGATCCGATTTCACAGCCTCCCTCTGCTCTATGTGATGAGAAGACTCAAAAGTCCTCCTGGTCTGCTTTAGAGAGGATGATGGTTTTGCTTCTTTATTTATTATAGGTATCAACAAAAAGCAAGGAAGCCTTCCTCCTCTTCTTCCTCCCCAGCACTGGAGTTATAGGAAAGCTTAACAGAGAAACCCTCTCCCTAGAGCCAAGTCCAGTGCTAAGGCCAAGACTTTGGTCTCACTGCAAATCGCTGAAGAGAGCTTGCCAAGGTCTGCTCGGCCTGCCAGGCTCCCACCGTCACCGCTCCTGCCATGCGAGCGCCCACCAGGGCAGAGCCACACGCCCCCTGCACATGAGCAAGCACAACACACACACAGGCACACGCTGAAAGCCATCCCGGCCTCCTCGGCACATCACAAAGCAGCAGTAAAGGTTTCAAAGCCCATTCAAGTCCTTCGCATCTCTCCTTCACAGATGACTCGAAAGCAGGGCTAGGAAGATCTTTTGCACATTCAACTTTAAAACACGTGAGGAAGAGGAGCAAGACAACTCTCCTGATTGTTGCTACTGCCTACAGCAAGTTTTGGTACAGATATCCTCTCTTATAGGCACTCAGTGGGTAAAACGTAGCCACAACAAACTTGCCATCAAAAATCTTTCCAGTCAGCATTTTTTGGGCAGCTTTGGAATCACCAGCATTTGCATATTCAACAAAGACCTGAAAGAGAGAGAGGAGAAACAAGACTTCCAGTGCTCCATGCCACTCACTCCCTCCCACCCCGCAGCTGGGAAAACCATTCCCGAACAAATTCTTCCCCTCCATCCTTGGCTGAGCACAGAGCGTTGGAGCTAAAAAGGAAAGAGCTGCTTCTCTGAATTGGGATTTCATCTCCTACTCCTCATTTGGTAAGGTGGGAGAAAGTATGATAATGCTCTACACCCTCAACATTTCCTCTCCCACCCATTAGCTTCTACACTTCCATCCCATATCCCAGCCCCCCTGCTAAAGCTGTTTGGGCAACCTTATGTAACTAGGAAGGAACCTGTGCTGTCCTTCAAAATAGCCATTTATTTTTAGCACTTCCATCAGCCAAGAAATTTCCAGGCACTAAGCAGCAGTCCTGCAGCACATGGAGTGCATGTAGGAATACACAGCCTCTTCCCCCTGTTCACTTACTTGGCCTTTACCAGGATTCTCCTTTGGAATAAGCAAGGAAACCACCGGTCCATATTTCTGACACTCCTCCCTTATGTCTTCCAGGATATCTGAGAAAGGAAAGAGTTGGTTGTCTTTCACTTGCAAACTACTACGAGCCAAGAAACAAATGAAGGCGAGATAACACATCAAGAACACTTAGTCAACACATAGCTTTTTCTTCTCAATTTAAAATAAACAAGCATGAAGTGCCAGAGCAGAAGCTTATGCTGCTTAATGGCCACGTAATGAGATGGAAGTGTCTGAACTGAGGCTCAGGAACACAGACCTGCAGGCAGTGAACCTCCATGAGCAGGGTTTGGAGCACATGAACAGTGCTCTTCCTTGCACACAAGGACTGGCCTTCCAGTAGCTAAAACATTTGGGATTTATGAGTGTCTGCTATGGCACTGGGAGGAGGGGAACTAAAGTAGCTGCCACAAGCCCTTCTTTGTGTGAGCAGAACCTGGCCTTTAAACTTGTATTCCCAGAGCTCTCTAGCTTTTGCCACTCACATGGATTTGACAGCAAGCAGAAATGCAAATTCCACCAACATGCCTGGCCATCTACCACAGTTTCAGAACTCCAATGAGATATTTCAGTTCTCTGCTGAGATCTCGGATAAGTTCATTAGCAATTTTTTAAGGATGTGTGCTACTGAACTCCAGAGTCCTGTACATGTCCAGTGGAAGCTCAGAGCTACAAACACGCAATGAAGTCTGCAGGCATTTAAACAAAGAAGAAAATAAAAATAAACTTTTTGTTTGTTTGTTTTTAAATTTGGGATCCTTCGAGAAATTCCTACAATCTGTGCTTTCTCTCTCAGTCTCTCAGTCTATTCTCTATTGGTGCAGTTGAACCACTTGGTACCAAATCTCAGCCGAGCAGCTCTTTGTTTACTGTTCTTGAGCCTATCAATTGCTCACCTGCTTGCTCTCACATCCCCAGAGGCAAACAAAACAGAGTCTGTAAGACAACATTGCCACATGGGAATTGCATGGCTTGCACCAACCTTCATATTCTTCTTCGCACTGCAGAGAAGCATCACTTAGAACATTTAGCAGCCTCAGCACAGGCGTGGGGAGCATCACCAAATCTTCGATATGGGGAGCTGTTTGGCATCCAAAGAATTAAAGAAAAGAAATCAAAGGAGCAAGAAAACAGAAAGCTGACTCAAAATGCATTATGATACACAAGCACTCGCTGCTCCTTGCAGAACAGTTCTGCTTCTCTGCTC